ATTCGGATTTAGAAAAGGCAAGGTACAGTACATAATGTGAAGAATATTGGCATAAATCTAAAATAAATTGAAAAATTCAAGTATATTTATATATAATCTTTTGTTCTCTAATGAAATTTCTTACACAAAGTTTCAATTTTAGTTTTTCCCAAATTGTTTCATTACATGAAATAATTTTGCTTACGTTATCAACAGTTTTAAAATATAACTTTGAATAGATTTGTAAGATTTATCTTATTTTTTTATTTAAAAAAATGACAAAGAAATTATTGTAACAAATTGATTTTCAAACAGAAACATTTTGAGTTTTTTTTAACTAAATTAATTTAAAAGATAACTTCCATTGATTAATTCATTTCAAATTTATTTTTCTAATCCAATTACAAAAATTCCACAAATAATTATGATAAAAATAGAGCATTCCAAGCGTATTTATTATATTAAAAATCTCTAATACAAAAAACTTTTTAAAGTTTTGTATGAATAACTTTAAAGTTTGCTCGTTTTTTTATAATACGTTACATTTTTAAAATTCCGAATATGAAATAACATTCAAAAAACCGACTAAATTTCATCTAAATTTACAATTTTATGGAAATTTTTTGGCATATTAAAATAATTCTTTGTCGAATTGTTAATTAAATGTCTTACAGTTAATTAAAATACGTTTGTCAGATGCGTATTCTCAATTGCAAAGTGTTAAATTTAGTTTTAATCAGTTTCAAAACCATCAAACAAATTTGCTTTTCCGTTTATGGGGATAATATTAATTGCAAAGTTCAAATTTCGGTATATACTGCTGATGGGAAACCTGATATTTACAGTTTTCTATTCGAAATTCGTACCCGAGATCTTACGGAATCGTTTAACGGAATATTATATATATATAGGAGAACCAGGCCTAAAATGGCACATTGTGCTAAAACGGTACAGTAGTTATATTTGTAAAACGCTACAAAATACATTTGAATTTACCATTCTTTAGTGCTCAGAAGCAGTACAACCACTACAAAATTTTGACGTCACGAAGAAATTTGATGGAAAAAAAAGGAAATCAAGAAAATTTTTTACAATACAGTATTCTTATAGTACATCCGTCATTGTAATTTTTTTTGCGTACCGCTAAACCCCCAGTTTGGAATCGCTGCTTTAGATTATGATAGGAAAATACAAGAGGAAATCACTGAGATAGTTATGGGATGAAATACAATCGTTATAATCATAAAGAAACATACTTTAAATGTAAGAAGTACTCTTTGTGGGCTCATAATAAGTTTACAGACCTCACCAAAAGAAGAAACAATTTTACGTGTGATTTATGCAAAAACTTGTTCAAGCGTATCATTACGTATTTTTATAAAACATCTATTACTTAAAAACAGTGTGAAGTTTTTAGTTCTTTTTATTAGTATTATTTGTATTATTCAGTGTAATATCAATAAACCATTAAGCACCTTATCTAAGGAAAAAGTTTCTTTTTCTTTTTTTGCTTTTTCCCTGGGATGTGTCATTTTAGGCCAAGTTCTTCTATGAAAAGGCCAAAAAATCAGTTAATCATTGCAAAGACTAAATTATCAAATAGGTTTTAGAAAGAGCTTGCAATGTTGCGCTGTATTATGATGAGAGATAACTATGGATATGGAAACCAATATTTGTGGAAGCAGAAATAGGAGTAGACGATAAGAATATGAAAGGATTGTAAGAAGGCCGATCTGAAGGAAAATAGTTTGACTGGGGGAGGTGGTGAACGAAAGAAAGGATTAGAAACGTTTGATAAGAAATAAAAGCTAAAGACAGAAGATTATTGTAATGACTAAATTTTTGTGATGTTCGAATGTAAGTAATGCAAAATACATACATGAAGGGACGCATTGTGATGCTTGTGCAAACATGACATCAGATGCGTTTACCATGTCGAAGGAATGCATTCAATTAAATGGAACTACTCAGGTCCTATTCTGTGATTTGTCAGTGACTGAATAATAATGTGAAATTTTTGAATCATCCTGTACTTTATTATTTATAAAAATTGTTCAAAATGAAATCCTCTTTGTTCGGCGCACAAACTACAGCATTTCAATATACTGTATTAAATTATAACTTTTTTGAATATAAATAATTTCATGGCTTGTTCGAGCGATTCACTCGGTTAACTGAGTTTTGCGCTACCCAATATACACACGAATTTGCAAATTCTTGGAAAATTCCTGTGATAGACTCAACTAAATGTATTGAATAACAGAATATAACTGATGTCATTTCAACTGCATTTTATAAAATGTGACAAGATTTGTGCTGTTATTTAATTTTCTTAATTGTAAAATAAATTTTTAATTAAATTTCAGCTTTAGTTGAGAATTAACTCACAACTTTTATCGATTTCCTTAAATTTTATAAAATTTATATGTGGAATATAAACATTTATTTCAAACGCTGTAATGCTCTTCTCAATACATATGAAACAAATTTTAAGCAGCATTTTCACACGTTTACTTACACATAGTTTTAATTATATAAAGTGAACCAAAAGGTAATTAACCGAGGTATATTTTTAAGATTATTTTAAGAGCTGGTTTGGAACAGCTGTAAATCTCGGTTAACAGACTTTTGGGCCGCTATACAACAGTTCTAAATATAATAAATGGTTTAAAAAGTTGATAATTTAAACTCAGCGTGTAGTTTTTTATCTCTAGTTGTAATCTCTTAGAATAATTGAAATGAAATTGTAATTTATATAATTTGGAA